CTCCCATCCAGCAGATCAGTGCCAGAGCGCGGCATGGGTTTTCTTTTTTTTTTTTAAGGGAAACCTCTTCCTCTTCCCAGTAATCACCACTTCAGGGGGGATTTCTTCCAAAGCAGCAACTGTGCAGCCGTTCAGCTTTGAACATTTGATGGTTTCATGGCTATAATTAGCCTAAAATAACAGCAATAAAATCTTAAAGCTGTAAATGCTTAAATTCCTAATGTACTAAGATGAAAGATGCTGCCTTTGATTCTGCTGCTTTTAAGGACCTCCCGGTTCTTAACGTCTGCATTTTGAATTATCCTTATCTTTATTGCACATCCATCACAGAAACTAATCTGTTGACCATTTCTATAACTTGCTGCATAAGTCTTCAGCTGCCCCTCATTTCTTTTCATTTTTACCCTGAAAGTCACAGCTTTTTACAATAGGCTCAAGGACGGAGCTGGAAATCATCAACTACAAGCAAACAACAAATAAACAACAACTGCTGGATAATTATAAAAGTCTCCAGTTGTAAAATATATTTTTCCTACTTTTCACAGACATGTCCACATCACTGTATAAACATCAACTCTGTGGCATTTACAGTAGAATCCTCAACCTAACCCTAACCCTAATACTTTGCAATAGTATACGCTGTCGCCTGCAGGCTCGAAAAAGCACCATAAAACCGAGTTGAAGGCTGAAGCAGCTGAAAAGGAGGCAACGTTTGGCCCTGCAATAGTAAAAGACACCAGAAGTACTCCAACCTGCAGTGCATTGTTCATTCTCCAGATCCAGCCAATCACAGTAGGCGGCATCTTTCAAAAGCAGGGGAAAGCCCTGAGAGTGAGTAACAGACAGGGTATCCACCTGAACTGCCTCTGGAGTCAAACTGCCTTTTCTCTCCGTCTCTCCTGCCTCCTCCCACCTGCGCTCGGCTCATGACAGAAATACCTGCCGCAGACCAGACACTGAACAGCTCAGCTCAGAGGAGCATTAAACCGACAACTGTGGCTGCAGAACAACTTTCCAAAAGGTGAAATATGAAGCGAGTGTTTACAGGGACAGTCAGGGTTCCTTTCCCCATGTCCTCTGCAGGGGGTGCTATAAATGCAAGGTTTAAATCTACGGTTGATAAGTTCAGTGCCTTTGTTATTCTAAAACCAACTAATGGGTTGGAAATACTCTGTGACCTGCAGCTTCTTCCTTCTTTAAAAGGTATTTTTCTCTCTCTCATGTTGACACAACACAGCGTCCCATCACTAATCTCCTGACCCTCTCTGTCACTGAGGTCATCACATGACCACCAATGAAGAGCTAATAATGACCAGGTCCTCTGACTATGACCTTTACCACTTCCACTGCAACCCTAAATGTGGACGTTTTCGGCCGACTGGCAGCTTAAGTCGTGTCATGTGAGAAAAAATTCCGTCCATTTTGGACGATGCGTTAAAAGGCAGGTGCAGTGGCCTGTTCCCCAACAACACCCTCTGCCTGGTGCGCCTGTGAGAGATTGAATGGATCCAGTTCAGGCCGGAACTGACCTGTTTGTACACGACTGGAGCCTTTAATGGCCAAATAAACAAACCATTAGACGTAATAGTGCAGGGCTTTTGTCAAGAGGGTGAAGAGCAGCGAGCTAGTTAAGGAAAGATTCCGACCCGACATGAAAAGGAACGCCGTGGAAAAGAGACGCCTGGGTGTTCTCCCAGCATTGTTCAGCCTTCTGCCTCTGAGGGACACCTGTCATTGGCTCAGCGGTTTACACAGGTGCCCTAAGCCCAGTCTGATTCGCTGGCCTTTAAAAAAAAAAGACTTCAGTCAACAGGTAGCGTAAAGGGAACAATAGTGACGATCCTGAAGAAGAAGAGAGAAAGGGATTGAGAGGGAGAGAGAGAGGGAGAGTGGGAGGAGGGTGGGATGGTGAAGAAGAGAAATAGATTCTTTAGAAATCACCTGAGGGTTTGTGTGAGATAATCTGTTTGCTTTTTTTACCCACAGTCTGACTTTGTAGGGTGGGAGGAAGGTAGATCGGCGTGTTTGTGGTGCTTAAGGATCCGTTTCCTTTTTTAAAAAAAACCCTCTCCTGATCGAGCCCTTTCCCAATCCAATCCCCTTTCTCCAGTCCACAGCCTCGGTTATTTCCACAGTAGACTGAGTCTTGGTGTAATGTGCACGGCTGCACAAACTCCCGGTCTCTCATGGCGATGGCTCTCTGCCAAGAATCAGCTCTAATGAAGCGATACTGTTGCATCAACACCACACACCCTAGCTCCGAGAGCCAGGCACCAAGGATTTTAGATGCATGAGTGTCTGTGTTTGTGTGTGTGTGTGTATGTGTGTGTGTGAGTGTGTGGTCCTGCTGCCAGGGAATTGCCATGTTCTCCCACTCCCTAGAATGTATGTGGAAAAAAAAAGATCTGTGTACGGTCGTGAATTAAAAATAGCCCCACTTTTTAGGAGGGCTCGGGGGGGCTGTACTTGTCCTTAGTCTGTTACTACAACAAGCACAGAAACTTAGCTAAAAGCGTATTAAACTAGTTACATTTTTGCAAATAGAAAAGTCAAGGGTTAAACACAAAATTTAGCTAATAGCTGGTTGTTAAAAAAAGTTTACAAAAATAAGTATGGGTTAATATTGGAAAAAGTGTCTTTAAAATGCATTGAAACAAATGGTTAGCTGCAAAAATATCTTAGGAATGAAGTCACGTGTCTCATAAAATCAGCCCCAGTACCGTGATTGGCCACTGAGCCGGATTTTGGACATACCTGCTGTAACATGAAGGCATTGTTATTGGAGTATATTTAACATTCCTTAGTGTTTAATTAGTGCCAAGATAATAATAATGCCTAAACCCAGTTAAAATTGGATTGAATGTCCACCTGTTCTCTACCACCCACCTGCAGGTGTGAACCTGTTACTGCAGGCTGTGTTGGTCTCGTAACCATCTCTATTTCCAGAGATCCTGACCTTTTAACAAACTGGGAATGTCTCCTGTTTCTCTTCCGCCTTTTCAACTGTGGCCATGGTGATAAGGCCACAATGTGTGTGTGTGTGTGTGTGTATCCTTTGATGTACGTTCATGTGTGCTAATGTGAGTTAAAGGACACTGCTTTGGTGTCATTTCCTCTCTTCTTACACACACACACACACTGACCAAATAAAGGTAATTGAATGACAGCCCGTCCACTTTGTGAGAGTGCGTGTGAGCGTGGGTTTGTGTTGACTCTTGGTAAACATGTTTGCTGAGCACTGAGCTCCAGCTTCAGTTGAACCATGTCTACGGGGTTTGAACATCAGGCACAACAACAGTGAGATAATCCTATTTTTGGGGGTAATTACTTCAATAATTCAAATGGTAAAGGCTTTTGTTTCTCCACTGCTGCAGCGACCATTCTCTCTCTCTTTCCCCCTACCTCTCTCTCTCTCTTTTATCTGTATTTCCCTTCTTACACGGGCAGGAATGTTAATGGCAGCATTGTGACGGTTTCATTCCTCCAGAGCGACTGACAGGCCGGACTGGCAGCTCTCAAAGACTCTGAATGGAGAAGTGGAGTTCTCTCACAGATGTCAGTCTTTCTAAGGAAGAACAGAAGCTTTTATTTTAGCTGCTTGCACTTTGCAAGGTTAATAGGAAGTTCCCTTATGGCTCAGTCCAGTGTTTCATACAATGTTCTTATTCATAGTTAATGATACCAGCTGCTGCAGTGATGGTTTGAAAAGGACACGACCATCTGGTTGCAGAACCTGACTTGAAATGTGATCTGATCTGAAGTGGAACTGTGCAAAGTTGACATCATGAACTGAATTTAGCCATTTTGACCAAAAACACATCAGGGAATGTCTACTAATGTTTCAACGCTGGCTTAGAAGTAGTTTTTTTTCTCCCCCATAGACTGAGGCCTTTCTGGTCAACTGCCAGGGCCATTTTTGAAATGTCTTGGAATAAATGCCTTATGGGTGAAAGTAGACATGGTTACTGGCAGGGAGAAGGATTCAAGAGAATTCACTGACACCCACTGACAGTCCAGCCCGCTGCCAGAACCACATTACTTTCAGAGTTAGTATCTTATTTTAAGGGATGAATGTGGATTAAAGGAGGCTTCCCTCAAACCACGGCCTGGATGTTCTTTATTGTTGGTCCCAAGTCTGGATAAATGGGAAAGATTGGATCGTGTCAGGAGGGACATCTGTTGTAAGAGGCTGTGTTCAGATTACCAGGCGGAGGTGACTCATATCTGATTTTTGTGAGGTTGTGAAAACAAAGAAATCCGATCTGCTCATCTGTTTTTTTAAATTAGACCTGAGTCAGTTTCATAACAGGTCCTGGATCAGTTTTGATGCAACATAAATTTGAGGCAAATTCAAATAATTCCAAGACTGTAATTTAAAAAACTTTAAAAGACGTTTTCAAATAATGTCCCATGTTGTAATTTAAAAAACTTTTAACTGTAATTTAAAAGACGTTTTCAAATAATGTCCCTGTTCTTATTGACTAACCCTGTAGAAAGCAGCTCACGGTGGTTCTTTATTTCCCTGTGCTATTTTCTTACGCTGTAAAATGATGGATGTGTGTGAAAATTGAGAATTGAACCATGTATTGAGTTCTTTTGTACATCTGCCTGGAACCATCAGCTCAGGTCGGTACTGATGTACGACATCCTTGTATATGAATTCCAATAATGTCAGGCTTTGGCAGGTATTTTTTATTATTATTATTTATTATTAAGTATAAGTATTAAGTATATATTCTACAGCTGTGACTGCAGGGCAGACAATATCGTCTACATAAGCTGAGGGTTTACTCTCTGTGTTGTTGAAACAGTCTCAGCCTGAGGGGGCGCCTTTTTATCTAAGCAGTTATCTGTCAAGGCTTGCTGCCACTATTACCCTGGAAAGAGTCCATGGAAACACTGCATTATGCAAGAAGACAAAGTCAAGAAGACGAGATTGAAAAGCCTTTGACAGCCGGGGTGTTCACTGACGGCTGCCTCACTCCCACCTTGTCTCACAGGGTATCTGTCCAAGGTCTTGAGGAACTACACAGAGCAGGCCTGTGAGGGAGACTTCCTGTCTGTCCACTGTCCACCACGCACAACCATCACCGTCCAGTCGGCCTTCTACGGGAGGAGGGGCCTCTCGGACCCCCTGCGGTGCCCTCAGAGCCACCAGGCCCTCCTGAGCCACCAGTACGCCCGTGAGGATGATCGATACTGTTCTGTGTCCACCGCACTACAGGTACAGTGAACAACTCTGTTCATTGAGTGTGCACATTTTTTACTACTTTACAGAGTTAGTACAGACAGTCACAAAACCTTGAAGCCAAACTCAATATATGTAGCTGCAACAACTACGCCTGAGCCAAACCTTCAGCTAACAGCCTAGACATGTAGCCATTTGTAAAACCAAGCTGAGAAATCTACAGGATGTTAGCATAGAAAAAAGATTAAGAGGAAAAAAAAAGTTAACCAAAAAAAAGGTTCATTAAAAGAAATATTCAAAACTAACCAATACATGTTTACTACAAGCCGTCACCAGTGAGACCCAGATACCATGTGTCCCAGGTCTGGATCTGTCCTTTTGCCTCTCATTGTCACACATTCTTGGTTGGAGCTGTAAATTATCTCCCCAGTAAGTGTCCTCTAAAATTGTCAAATTGGCCAAGGGTTAAATATGGGGTGAACCACTGATTATGTAACGCATTGTGTGAAGGTTTTCCGGCAAATTACACACTGTTAAGAAGAATCAGGCTTGTATGTTCCCATCGCACAAAGCAATTTCGTGGGGTCGCTGCACTAACATACCCTCATAAACTGGCATGTGGTCAAAGTGGAAGCCCCGCAAACACGCTGTGGTCGGAATTTAGCAAAACAAAAAAGGCCAGAATTTACTTAACACACACTGATCCACATACATAAATAAACGAAATATTACCAACCAGCAGTGACCAAGACACCAAGAAGCTAAAGTGGTCCTCTGCACTCGTGGCTGCAGGCCCCCATGATCTGCTGTAACTATTACATTTGTTTTATTATCAAATGAGGTAAATGTTCCTGAACGGAGCTCAGTCATGTGAGACACCTTCCACGGAGTGTGTGATTGTAGGACAGGGGAATGTGGTGTGTTGGAATGTGTTCACCTGGGACACACGGAGCTACGAGAGCATGAAACTGGAGAAGCAGCAGGATGCCAGGAAATGAGTGGAATGGATTCTCCTTCTCCTGTTTCCCTTTTTTCCCACTCTGACCTGCTCCTCTCCTCCACAGTCCCATGGGTGTCAGCACACTTTTGAAGTGGTTTTAAGTTTGCCCGTTGCTGCTGTCACCATTGTCGACTCATTGTTCTTCACCTAAAAGTTTTTTTTGTTTTTCCCTGCTCGCTGTCATCTTTTCCTTCTTTAGAAAATGCTGGACGAGTGCCAGGACAGAAGGAGCTGTCACGTCCTTGTCAACAGCCGCGTGTTTGGGACGGACCAGTGTCCTGGCAGCAGTAAATACCTCATTGTCTGGTACAAATGCAGACCTAGTAAGTCCTTTACCGCCTTGTTTTCCTGACAACAACACATTTGTCTGCTGTATTTCCCAGGTCTCACTCACAGAATACGGTCTCCAGGGACTTCCTGGAAAAGTAAAGAACAGTCATTTATTTTATTTATTTTTTGTTTTTGTTTTTTTTCAATATATGAAATTATTTGCAGTTTAACAAAGACAGTAAGTCCAGTAAGAGTGGTTCTTGTGTTTGACAATGGTTCCCAAACACTGGGCCACGGATTAATATTGGAACATGTGTCATATGGTGCCACGAGAAAAATAACACAATATTTATGTTTTATTAAAGTATTATCTATGATTATTAGAGAGTAAAAATTGTCTTTCATGAAACTGGTCCATGGTTGGTGACTTAAGATCTATGACTTAAGAAGGTACTAGGTTGTACTAGTTTGTACTAGGTTGTACTAGGTAGTACTAGGTTGTTGATTTTGTTTGGGTTTACCATGGAAACAGTCCACAAGATACAAGATCGTGGATTTGAGCTATAGTTAAACCACAAGTTTTAGTTTCTTTAATTTACAGGGTACTGCCGTGTTGAAGGTGTTTCATCGAGTTGTGCAGCAGGTCACAGTAGAGTGACACCCCCGTCCCGTCCCGTCCCCTCCCCACCTCCCACCCCAGTCTACCTCCTGCTCCTTCTTTTTCTTTCTCCATCGGACCTTGAGGCCAATCAGCAGCTCTTTGTTCAGCGTCACCTCAGCAGTGACTTCTCCGTGGGAAAAGAAATGGTCGCATGGGGTTAGTTAGTGATGAGTAGTGGCCAGGTGGCGCTACCTTTCTGAGAAGAAGAAGAAGAAAAAAAGTTAAGGGGAACAGAAGAAAATCTGTCACTTAAATTTATAACAAAGCAGCAATCTGAGACTCTGCTCCGTCTGCGTTCCTGTTCCTGTTCCACTCTCTCCGTGGATGAGGGAACTGTTGTGGGAAGTGTTGTGACTGCTGCAGCTCCTCAGTCGGCCAGTGAAGCCATTATTGCTGTCACAGGTCACTGTGGATGTATGTGTGTCAGGAATGTGTCTGCATGGCTCTACATGTCCACTGAGCAGCACACTGACTCTGAGTCTGCTTCTTTACACAGACCTGCTGGAAAAAACAACACCGTTTTCAGAGGGATTCCAAAAATACTTTAACTTATCATCTTTAAGGGACCATAAACATATCACTCACTACTTACGTCTCTAACTTTTCATCCTCTCTGCCTCTCCTTCCAGACGAGTATAAGAGTAAGGTGGTGTGCGAGGAGGAGAGGATGAGGCTGAGCTGCAAACGTGGGATGCAGATCGCCATTTACTCCGCCATGTTTGGTCGAACTCAGCAGGGAACTCTGGAGTGTCCGCTGTATCACCGCAGGGCTCCGTCAGTAGGTGAGAGGACTTTTCACCTTCAGAACTTCAGTGCTGGTTCAGGGACACTGTGTCTTTGTTACATGTTCCAGGAAAGATCACACAATTCCATAAGACATGGAAGGACAAAAATAAACTTGTAATATGGCAACATGAAATTACTTCATTAGTTAGCCAGTTTAACATAGCATCATTTCTTTAGTCACCAAATTAAATATTTGCTTCAGTGTTTGCTTAGAAAAGCGACATTTGTCGACATTTATAAAATAACTAACTAACTTATTAAAACATTAAACCATTCAAAACAATTATCTCCAACAGTAACAGTTAGCTTAAAATAAATTAACAAAAACCCCTGCAATATCCTGACCAGAATGAAAAGAAAAGTTTAGTTCAGATCATTATGTTTTAAGATTTATTTTTTTGCCTGTCCTTAGTGTAAGCTGATATTTTTTTTGAAAACATTACAATTTATTTTTACCACCATTTAGCATTTCTCTATTTTGTTCTCAGCAGTGAGAAACAATAAACCTCCACACTCTCTTTCTCTCTCTCTCTCTCTTTCTCTCTCTCTCTCTCTCTCTCTACCTCTATCACACACA